ACTAATCTGTCTATTTTCAAACCAACGAATAAGAGAAAGAGGAGTGAAATGTGAATGAAGCTCTGCAAAATGACCTTAGCAATTTCAATAAACTAAAGTGCTCTAAAGTTCTAGAGAAGAAATACACAAAAGCCTACTACACAAATGCTGTACTTTCCCACCAGACAAAACCATACAAGAACCAAGAGTCACTTCCACACACTGAAAATATATATATCCCCCCCCCACCCCACTAACCGGATCTAATCGGATAATCAACTTCCATTTCCTCATCCAAGCTCTCCAAAAACCTGTTTCAAAAACATTTGAGTAATTGAGTTTTCTCTCTAGGCAAGAAGAGGAACTTAGATTTCGAGTTTCGGGAAAGCTAACTAACCTCCACAACTGAATCCATCGTCGCCACGGCAAACCAACAACTTTAAACTCCCATTTACTTTTAAGACCTACACAAGTTAAAAAAAAAAAAAGAAGCTTGCATTGGTGTGGGAATCCAGGATTCAAACAAACAATACAAACATAAGATGTTGACAAAAAAGGAGCTTTACCGTTTTTTTCTTTTTAACTTTAGATTCCATCGCCTTTTGATTTCTTCCCAGTGACAATCTGCATGATGCGAAGTCCTCTGCTAAATGCTTCATTGAATAAGATCCTCGTTTGCATCGATTGAAACCCAGGCATCCACGACAAGAATGCTACAGGAACCATGATGACTATCCCGAATAGTATGTCATACATGCGAGCAACAGAGACTACAGCGTTCCAGAGAACTCTGTTCTTAATGATAGGCTTTGCAACCTGTGCGATCAGCAGGATTCCCCAGCCCGTTGGGATGAATGCAAGAAGACTCGTGAAGATATCGACAAAGCTGAAATGCGTGAACTCGAGCAGAGCAACTAGCACCAGTATTCCAAGCACGATCAGGAGGAATTGGACAAGCCTGTACCGTATGTGAGCTTTTGCAGAGTACTTGTCACGGGCGTATTGGATTACCAGGAAAACCACAAACACTGCCAATATGTATATCCATGAGAGGGCGTAGACTAAAATGCTGGTGGATCCGCTTGCGATTTTGAGCTGGTATACAATCCCGTACTGGAAGAAGAAAAACCGTAGGTCTAAGATGATCTCCACAAGTCTTCCTGGCCACCCAGTGTTTCTCAGGTGGTCTTGTTCCTCGTACCACCACTTTTCCCAGCTTTGTTCAGATTTCGTTGAGATTCTGCCTTGGTACCAGATCCAGTTCATGAAATCTTCAAAGTCGTAGACTGTCTTAAGCCAGTCGAATCCTGATGGGTTAAACACAAAAGGAGCCATTATCCATGAAAGTACAAGGAACCAGCTGGTTATAGTCATGGCTATGTAAATCAATGAGTTTTTGGCAATCGGACTGTGAGAAGCATAAACTATCAGGATCAGCCCAAGCTCGATGGCCTTCACAAAGTGACTGCGTGAATAGAGTCTGTAGTTCTCAGTGAATCCCTTGTGCTCGACAACAAATCCACGCCCAGTGGCTCTGTACTTTGCTCCACCATGGAGAATGGTTCGGCCAAAATAGTGAGCTCTAGTCCCCATTGAGAATGTGTAGAAGACCGATGAAAGCTGAATCTGCATTCGAATGAAATTCCATATCGCTTGAAGGAAACCCTCCTCGAGAGACCATTCAACAATCATTGGCAGGGCTGTGAATAGACCGAGCTGAATGATGAATTGCTGATTCAAGATCACCCCAAGCGCTGCATTGCTGTCTGCACTGTCTGCTAGAGCGGACTTCTCAACCCCGCTCAGAGCCAGATAAACCCGGCCCCAGAGGAAAGCGTAAACAGTAAGAATGACCATCATCGTGTTGAAGAAAAACCCAACCGTTGTATAGAAAAATGATAACATTCTGAAGAAATCAAGCCTGTGACCGAGCCGGTACACATCTCGGCTAAGAACCTGCTCCCCGTTCCCACTGGCTACCTTAGCCTCAAACATTGATATCTGATTCAATCCAACATCCCGACCCTTGCCAACCTGAATATATGCACAAAGACAAGGGTTATGCAAATTTCATTGAATTTTGGAGATAAAAGAACTTTAAGTTGTATGGTTATAACAAAGGTAGAATTATAGGATCATTGTAGCAACATAAATGAGTTAGAAATATCCAAATAGTGAACTTTTCCCAACCTGAATGTACTCGTGGTGGGTGACGTTTCCACCTCGCAATGTGCAATTAAACCCGGCGAAGATGTCCTCACTGATATTTATGACCCTGGAAGCCTTGCTGATGCCACCTCGACTCACAAACCAGAATCTGTCAAATACATCAGGGTGGCCATAATGCATTCTGACCTTCAGCGGGTTTGCAAGAACACGCTGACCAAGAGTGACAAAACTTGTCTCCTGAGCAGACATGAACCAGGCCAGAGACGAGACTGAGCCTGTGAAGATATGCTCCCGGACACCAAGAATAGTTGGTTTTCTGATCCCGTGATAATGTCTGAATTCCTGGAGCAAATTTCTCATCTTGAGAGCCTCCTCAAAATAGCTGTCCTGGTTCATATCAATGGTCTGAACAGCATCACCACGGGTAAAAATCATTGCATGATTCTGATTCTCTGGCTTTCCCTCGCCCAGTTTCACCGGACCAGGTAGCTTCACACGGAATATTTCCACTTCCTTCTCCAACCGGTGATCGTATTTCACCAAAACGGAGTAATACTCAGTCTCTTCTCTGCCTGCAGGCACCTCATCCACATATGCAATACGGAGGGCTTCGTGCTGCTTCATCAAATACAGAATCTCTTCTGCCTGAGGCTCCTTCTTTGCTTTTTGAGACCCATAGATCTGGCACGCCACAACATATGTAAATTTCATCAATGCAGTCCCATACTCATGGCCTTTATACAGCGTACTCACAGAACTACTTGCTCTGCTTAGGGAAGATCGGTCATTTTCAGAATCAACTCCATCCAATCGACCACCTAGCTCTCCCTGAAAACTCCTCACTGAACCAAGCTCCTGAGCACCCTCCCGAATGTCCATTTCAGACGCAGAGTCAAGAAAAGCAAGCATCTTAAGAGCCCGGTAGTAGTACATCATTCCCCGAACAGTACGTGCCAAAGTCTGACCTCTGTAGGAAGCCCAAAGCCTGATGTCTCTCAGCTTGGTTGTCCACAATTCATCATCAGTCTTTATTCCTTCTCTATGCATCCGCTCCTTAAAATTTTTCCATTCGTCAGCATAAATTGTCTGCAGGTAGTACATGGTTGAAATCCCATCCTCGGTCTCATTTCGGAGCTGTTCTTTGCTGTAAACAACTTCCTCGCTGTAGTACGGCGTCAGAACACTGAACGCCATCATTTTCTCAACCTGAGGTGCATGAGGCATGTTCATGAAAAGCGAATTGCTGAAGAAAGCAATCCGCCGTCTCGCCTCTAGATTCACGGGGACACTGTGCATGGAATCCCTCGAAGTGAGAATTGTGTGTAATCGCCTAACCTGTCGATAGAAGTCTTCATTGCTTGCATCAGGAAGGCTAATAGCATTCTGAAACAGCAGCTTTGAGGCTGGGTCACGAGGAGTCAACCCGTCACTAGTAAGATCTTCAGTTGTCTTCTTAACTGTAAAGAACTGTCGAGTCGCAATTTCATAAAGAGACTGCAAAACATTCACCACCCGTCCAATATCCGTTTTCTCATCATTCAACATTCCAACCAACTTTTGCAGTGTTTCGTAAATCTTTGGCAGAAGGTCCACTTTAAAGGTCTTGGTGAAGAGCTCTGACTGAATTGAATCATCGATCATTTGAAAGAAAACCACAACTATGGAATGTTCTTCAGTGTCAACTTTGATGATTGAGAGCAGTAGGTGCTTGATACTGTCATACGCCTCAACTACAGCACAACGCCTGTACTCATTTTTGCATATCTTGTGCCACAGCCATTTATCAGGAGCATCAACCAGCTCTTTGCCCTGGCCCAGAGCAAGCAAAAGCTCGTTGCACAACAAGAAACACGGCCAGCGAATAACTCTCACATTCCAGGAATTCTTTGGCAGCTCCAACAGCTCTACTTCTCGATCAGAAACTATATCCTCTTCTCTGAAAGCTAAGATTATCTCATTCCAGATCAATGCAAACTTGTTGGCCTCAACCTGATTAGACTCGAGTTTCTTAAACGGCCGCCCAAATCCATACCTTAGCTTCAATCTGCATACATTACACAAGCTCAAGGTTATTACAATACTGAAAAATTGAAGTTAAATTCATAGCTTATGCCAAGTCAAGTTTTGTACAGTAAGTTATATAGGATAGTATGCTTCCACGGACTGACCTATGAATTCCGTCTTTGAATTTGTTACCAAAGCCTCTAGCATTCAGGAGTTGTTCCTCAGGCATTAGGTTGAACTGAATAGCGCTAGCAAAGAATTGGAACCTCAGCCTAAGTTGTTCCATGTCCCTGATCTCCCCCAGATGATCAAACAGCCCAACGACAGCACCAACAATAGAAGAGTAGATTGCATACCAAATTTGGATATCCATCAGGTATATCAACACAACTGGCAACCACAATAACACGACAGAAAACCTATTGCTGTTGCCAAAAAACTGGGGCCACTCATATTTTACATCCTTTAAGTTCCACAGCAGCTTCGAGGGTTCAATCATTGGCTTAACTTGCAGGAAGTAGCTAAATGTGAACTTTGTTGCTAGGACAAAGATCCAGAAAGTCGAGTACTTGATGTTGTCCACTAAACCCTCTCTCAAACCTCGACCCACAAAGCTTTTGCCCTGAAACCACCAAGTTAAAGCAAAGAATATTTTCCAATTGGTCTCTTCCAAAAAGTTTCTTATCCATGGGATTATAAACAGAGCCAAAGCCAGAATTTCAGGCACCAAGAAGGCCACCACAGCATAAAGGAATTGGTAGATCTTGTTCGTTGCGGCATTGGACCACTGATGCCTGTCTAGCCTTTTCTGCTTCCAGATGTTCGTGTAGAGGACTATGAAAGCTATGATCCAAACTGTGGCAGCTATAACCTTCATAACCATTCTGAAAAAGAGCCGTTTGGTCTCTCTGGAAATGAGGGGATATTGTGAAGCCCCGTCCAGCACAGCCTGCAGGAGTCGCATACCACTCCATGTCAAAAACACTGTCAAGAGTCTAACCTGAACATCTGTTGACTTCAAAGCATTCCACAGTTGATCTCTCACCGACGCTTTGTCCGGCTTTTCCTCCCAAGCTACTATAATGGCGGCTTGAAGGAACAAAGCAAGCATTACCCAAAGCCTATCAAAGCTACGGTAGAGGTAGAAGAACGTCCTACGCTCCACAAAACCAGTTTTCCCAACGCTTTTACCTCTACTCTTAAAGAAATTGCTTCCCAGATCAAGCGGCCATTTCAATTTGCTGAAACATCTATCTGTCCAGAAGTACTCATTGATATCATCGTAGTTCCTCCACTTACAATGCGGCTCAGTCCCATTCTTGCTCTCCTCAATCTCAGCTTTGATAGTATCGTAAATAGGTTTCACTACACCGTTTAGAAAAGCGTTTTCACCTGACAGAGAAGGCAAATAAGGTTGACCAGTGTTATCATCGAGGCAATCCTCTAGGATTTTGTTGAGCTCCCCAGCCATGTTATGGAAGATGTAACATATACATTCAGGCATGAAACGAAGATTCGCCGCTTCACCCCAAATAAGGAGATAAAGCCCAACATAGAGAAGCTCCCGTCGTGAATCAGGGTTCCGATCTGAGATCCAGATATTCGATTTTTTACCCAAATAAGAACACCAGCTAGAGTAGTTACCTAGAAGCTTCTTTCGAAACCGACGAACAACTGCGGAATCGAGAGAGTCGATATTATCCGGAGGTGGCGTGAGACGCATCTGAGCATTAGCGAGATGAAGCACCATATGCTCACGCTGGTTACGAACGTTATCCTTTTGAAACCCGAAGAACAAAGCGAGCCAGTCAAGGAGATCGTAGTGGGAACGCCATTGAATGTACGGTGGACGACGAAGGTCACCGACGGTTTTAAGAGCGGCAGCGGCAGCACGAACCTCTGGAAAACGGAGAGAAGGATGGTCGGCGAGGAGATTGTTGACGGGAATGATATTGTAAGGCTCCTCTTCGATTCCGGCAGCTTCCGCCGCCAACGGCCGTCCGGTTTGTGACGGGACGGTGCGGTGGCGGAGGCTCATAGTAGCATGTGGTTAGATCTTGAGAGATTTCTCGGAGAAAAAAGCTTGGCTGAATCAACAATGGAGAAATCGAAACGGTGCGATAATTTCCTCTTTTTGAGCTCAAGACGGCGACACAACGACGACGAAGACGATTTAATTTAGCCTCCTCCTTTCCGCGTTTCGG